TCATCGTTGTGAGACATTTTACTTTAGAGAAGGGAAGGGCTAGCAGATCTATTTTGATGATATTCTGGTAGACTGACCTAGAGATTGCATGAGATCAAATTTATTGCAGGATGCAATTTTGTTTCATTATTTATGGAGTAGAGTAGATGAGCTTCTGTTTGGGAGTTCTGCAGTATGGCATATAAAGGATGGCCTTAAATAAAACATATTTTTTAAATTATATTATTGCTTGGTGATGGAGTGTTCTGGATGTAGATTTAACACTGTAACTTAAGAAGGGGGTCCAAAAAGTAAATTGCAGTGTTACCTCATAGTATAGACTGCACAGAGACTCTCAGTTTTTCTTGAAGTCCTTCTTAGCTTTGTTAGCTGTTCGCTAACTGTTAGCTCCCTGTTAACTCCTTTCTCAAGTCCCAACCTACAGGTCAGGCTTGCATTGTGTAAAATATAGTATTATTGTTTACTAAACTTGTGCATCTGGTTTCAAATGAATTTTGCTCTGACAGACAAATCTCACCTCTTTTCCCTAAGAGAGAGAGCCCAGATTGGTTAGTTCACATGCTAACCAACCAGAGCTCTCTGGCTGAGATTGCAAAGCCAATTTAATTAGTTTCCTAATCTCCTAATCCCATGTTGGGAAATGGAAAATAGCATCTCATGGATGAAGGCAAAATGTCCAGCCCCTTCTTCATTTTAAACTAGTCCCCATGTACCAACCATGTGTTGGGCAGAGGTATACAGTTCAGTGCACCCCCTTATTATATTAGTATCCAACACCCACTGCCCATGGAGGTGTGTGTGGACAGTGAAATGTCCCCCAGTTTATTATGTTAATAGTCCCCACCCACCGCACATGGGTGGGAGCCCAGGGTAACCAAGTACCTTCATGGTTTTTTGTTGTTGTATTTTTAATAGAAACCCACCTACTTGCTACAGCTGAGGGCAGGGGGTAAACAGGTCACTAAATATGCATTATTTAATTTCTAATCCCTCCCCCCCCACACTGACCATGGATAGGGGCACGAGGTGAACCATTGACAGGTACATAGTTACTAGATTTCAATTCAGTGACCTGCCACTCACTATTTAGTTGACACGCCCCCATCCACGGTATTGTGGGCGCTGGGATAAAGCTATATTAATATGGGAGTCATATTGATCCCCATATGTTTTTGGTTCTACCAAATTGTTTCCACTTAAACGACTGCAAGGATAAATTCATTCGAACAGAAAAGCCACAAGGACAAAATTCTGTTTGTCCTAACCATCTTTTTTTTTTGGAGGGGGGATATGGATGGCCTAAATATGGATGGCCCAAATTGTTTTGCCATGACTGTGCTAGAATCTTGTAGTAATGAGTTCCATATACAATCTTGGTTGTAAAGTAACTGTTTTGCATTTTTAACATTAAAGTCATTAAATTCAGCTCATATTTAAGAACTGGATTCAATCAGATACAAATAACTTGCTGCACATAGGCATATTTTTCTCAATGCTTCGCAATGAGAAGCATTGGATTGGGCAATCATTAAGGAAGTGATACCTCCATAACAACATCGCAAGAAGATGAGTGGATGGCAGCATCACTTGAGTGTTAGTGCTGGAATAAAGTTAAAACTTTTTAAAAACATTTTTTCAAGTGTTACAGTACTATAGCTCAAAGGAAAGTCCTATTAATTTAATGAAACTATAGTGTTCCTTATACATTTAACATCATTTTCATTTTATGTTTAAAAAAAAAAAAAAAATCAGTTTTCATTATGAGATAGTTTCCAAAGAGACAAAAAACAATCAAAGGAGAGCACACAAGCCTCCACAATGATAGCAGAACATTCATGATGCAAACTCTCTGAGTTCAAAATACAGTCTTAGGTCAGTACAATTGATATACAATGCAAGTACCCCCAGTATTCACAACACCTTGTCTGATCATAATATACAGCCCTATCTGTGAACTAGATGCAATGTATCCCATAAGGAAGACCTGCGAGAGAGTACAGCATAGAGAAAGAGGTTTGGTAACCAGACAGAGAGAGAAAACAAAGACAACCACCCCACCGAAAAGCCGAGCCCCCCCAAGCCCTCTGCGATTTGAATTTAGGTCAGACATCATAGATCCCGCGCCATATACACAAACAATGGTTGCCAGTTCTCAGAATGCTTGGAACCCATCCCAAACTGAGAAGCATGGAGCACCTCTGTAGCCTGTGTATCCTCAACTCTCCGTAGCCAATATTCCTTTGAGGGAACCTCGGTCTTTTCCCAAAAAGCCAGAATCAGGGCCTTTGCAGCATTAGATAGGTAACATCTTTATCATTTAACTCGTAGTCCTTGGCTCACACCACAGGATTTATGAATAACATGTTAGTCTTGTCTGAAAAAAATCAACCAAGTATTATCAGTTTAACGTCAGTTTAAATATGTATTTAATTCTAGAAAAATAGAACTAGGTCGACATATTTTTTCAGTTACTTACCTTTAGGCATGCTGACTTAGAAGGTGGTGACCATAACCTTAAGAAACTGATCTTGATTCTTGGATCACACAGCAGAGATAATGTGGATTTGCAATAGATTATCTAAAGGACAACAAAGAATTTTGTTCAGCTTGATATTTCAAAGAGTTTAACCTCAACTACCTTCACAAAGAAGCAACTGTATATGAAGTTTTAGAATTCTTTGGTTTGTGTGACAGAGGCACAGCTATGTCTTCAGCAAGGCAGGAAAAATACTGATGTTCGGATTGATTTTAAATGTTTATGTTTATGTAAAAATATTGGTATTCATAGGCCATATAAGACAGTTAGTTTCTTTAATGTGTTCCTGTTTCACAGCAGAGGTCTTTGACACTATAAATCAGCAGATCTTGTTTAATAAATATATTGAGAGAGTGGAGCGCTGAATAAGTGAATCTGATTCAGAGGAGGGTATAAAAAATAGGAAACCTAACGACCTATTAAAATAAAACATGCACTAATAGAGAAACTATACCCTTAAACCTCTAATTGGAATATCATAGCTGTAATCATGTGAAATAAAACTGTCAAACAGTAATATATCGTAATAACAATAAGCAGAAATCTCATATAGTGAATATAAAAGACTGAATAGTAAAGTCCAGTATTAGTCCGTTCAAATCCCTTTATTCCGGGTATTTTCTTCAGTATAATGGCTCAGAGACCAAAATGAATATATAAAAAATGCAGAGAAAAAAGTGAATTAATAACTTCTATTTCAGTGCATCGGAAAAAACAATCCAAATATATCGAAAATAAAACTGGCTTTATTAAATTCCTAGCTATAAGCTAGACATCGGTATTTTCTTAAAAATTCAAAATAACACAAATTCCAAATAAAATTCGGAATAGTAATAGTCAGACTACGTTAATGTATGTCTGCAAACTGGTACAGAAAGTGCATATAAGGTGCAGACCTTGTGTTGCTCACGGCGTCCCGGATCAGCAACTTAGGTATTGCTCTGATGTATAAAATGCAGGTAGATGCCTCCCAAATGCTGCCTTTCAGTAGTAAGTGATCAGTCCCTCCAAATGCGTTTCTCCGTCAGCACGGCTTTATCAATGGATGCGGACTGTCAGACAATACCCGCTTATATAGCGGTTTATTCCTCTCGTTTCACACATATCAAAGAAGGAAAAAAAACATAACACAATGTTTCTAACTCTTACATAGTGTTCATCATTTTTACAATTTTTCAATTTCTAACATATATTAAAACTCTTATTTATAAGAAAATCTTCATATAGTGTTACATTCTGTGTTAGTATATGTAACCATAGTTACTCCCGCTGGATTTAAATTTAAACGTAACAGTCATTCGATTAAGTTATTATCCTTTGATTATATTCCACAAATGAATTTGTTAGAGTATCTATTTCATAGTATTAATCCTGCTCTCAGAAGATAGTTAACCTAAACAAATGTGGATATCTAAAAATAGTGCTAGTATCCTAATTGTTATAACTTAATAGTATCCCTGAAAAGTGACAGAAAATAAAGGTCTGTCTCATGTTGTGTCCCAATTAAAGGTACATACATATTGACAGAACTTATATAAAAGTACAGAATAAACTATATATAAAAAGAAAATTATGACAATAAAATCATGGGGAAAAATACACATAGGTTTACTATAAGGCTAAACAATTTAAGATTTTAGTAAAAATAAAGGAAAAAAGACCTATAGAAAAAATAAATAAATAGAATATTTAATCATAAAATTGTATATTCCCTAAAAGACACCGATATCATTAATAAATTCTTAAATATCAGGTCAATTACTGTTCTATAAGGAGGAGTGAATTCGTATCCATGATTATTCATCCTAAGAAATGGCACAATTCAAATTCTGCGTTTAAGCCGTTTGGTTGTAATGTGTTTACATTGTATATCCATTTCATTTCTTGTATACCCAGCTGTTTGGTATGATCTCCACCTCTCCAATGTTTCCTTACTTTACATATGGCCTTAAATTTCAGGAGACTCATATCTGCTCCATGATATTGTGCAAAATGAGCCGATACCGTATGTTGCATAAATTTCTTTTTAATATTTAACATATGTTCTCTAATTCTTATATATAACTGTCTTTTGGTTCTACCTACATACTGGAGTCCACATGGGCATTCCAGTACATAGATTATATTTACACTTTGACACGTAATGAAGTCCCGAATTTTGAATACTTCATTACTATTATTCAGTTTTCTGCTTGAAATCTCATATATTTTTGTTGAGGTGTCCTTACTGGTTTTACAAGCAATACACTCATTACAAAAAAAGAAACCTTTCTTTTTCATTCTCGGTTCTTCTTTCTTATTCATTTTCAAATGATTGTTTGTTAATTTATTTTTTATATTCCTAACTCCCCTGAAAATGATCCTAGGTTTCTCCGGTATCGTACTGGCTAATAATTTATCCTTTTTAAGCAAGTGCCAGTGCTTTCTCAGAATTCTTCTCAGTTGTACATTTTCTTTACTATAATCCAGAATAATGGGTGGGAATAGATTTTGTTGTGAGATAAGAACATCACAACAAAATCTATTCCCACCCATTATTCTGGATTATAGTAAAGAAAATGCTACGCTAATTTGTTTATGTCCTTCTGGGGGGAATCTTTCCTCTCAGGGGATGTATCCTGGAGTGCGGACTTGGTCCTCTATCGCAGGTATATAGATGATATTTTTTTTATTTGGAAGGGGGGAGAACAGCACCTTACTTAATTTCTTCAATTTTTAAATGACAATTCTAGGAATATTACCCTCTCTAGTGAATATAGTATTTCCCATGTTAATTTTTTAGATTTAGTTATTTATATAGAGGATTCTTGTATTAAAACGAAAACGTTTTTTAAACCGGTTGATGTCAATAGTTATATTGACACAACCAGTTGTCACCATGCTCCTTGGATTAATAACATGCCAAAAGGACAGTACATACGAATGTTGAGGAATTGTACTGATCCTCATCAATTTGTTATCGAAGCTGATACACTAACTTCCTTTTTTAAAGAAAAACATTATGACCCTATAGTTTTAGAAGAACAGGTTTATCAGGTTAAAAAAATGAAGAGAACTGAGGTACTCTAATATAAACCAAAGAAAGATACAGGAATAGGGGAGAAAGAATGTGTACCTCTGATTCTGGATTATAATGTTAATTCCAAACAAATCAAACATATAATCAATAAACATTGGCATGTTCTGAAAACAGATGAGGACCTTAAGGATATTATAAGTGATAAGCCGAAGGTTATCTTTAAAGGTGCTAAAAATATTAAAGATCATTTAGTTAAAAGTTTTATAAATTGTAAACAGGGAGACAAGAACGTTTTTAATCAAAAACCAGGTTTTTATTCGTGTAAAATGTGTTTGCCGTGTAAAAACACTACCTTTAAAAAAGATACACAAATTACGTTTAAATCTAATGTCACAGGAACCTGCTTTAAGATACGTGATATCGATACATGTCATTGTACTAATGTGGTGTATCTCCTCTGGTGTCCCTGTGGGCTCCAGTATGTGGGTATGACTACTAGAAGTCTGAAAACCCGCATTATGGAGCACATGGGGAACATACGGAGGAGATACACCAAACACAGTGTATCAGCACATTTTTTAGAACATCATAATGGTGACGCTTCTCTTTTAAGTTTCATGGTGATTGGGAAAAAACGGATAAATTGGAGAGGAGAGGATAATGTCCGAGAATTAAGTAAATTAGAGGGTAAATGGATTTTTACCTTGGACACTATGTGCCCTAAAGGTCTTAATATAGATTTCGAATTAGTCCATTTTTTATAAATTTTATAATATTTTTATATTTATATATTTAACAATATATGTTATTTATATATATTTATATTTTTTTTATAGTTTTTATTGGATTTTCCTTTTTGGACATTTTTTTCCCTCTTTAATATATTATCTATTATGCCCTGTGTTTTGAGAATATTTTTGTACCTATTTACTAATTCACTACTTGTTATTTTCTTTATTTTTATACTATGTTGGATTAAGTTTGTTTGGGCATATGCCCTTTTCCAATATGGACATTTTTGGGATTATTTCCACCATGCTCGAGTGTGGAACGCATGGTGGAACGCAAAAATATCATGTGACCGCAGCTAAACCGGAAGTCACATGCGTTTTGCCGAAACCGGAAGTGACATGATCGGCGGTATTTTGAAACCACAGCTGGACCCAGTTGAACATATCAAGGGGGCTATTTAAGCCCTGAAGTTTTCTCCAGGAATTTAGCACTGAGGAAGGCCCTATCAAGGGCTGAAACGCGTTTGCACTTTACTGGACTTCTCTATTGGGACTTTCTCTGGCGGTATTATTTTATTGTTTATGTATTGTAGTGTTCCACTGCTTTTACTCTTTGGCCATAATTGCGGTGATGCACATAGAGCCTATGAGGCTCCATCTTTGTGAGTTTAATCCTCAAATATTATAGTTTGTTTATTTTAATTTATATGGAAAGCACTATGTATGTTCCATTTGTCTTTCAGATGTAATCACCATATTTACGTCTACAATAGGTGGTATACCTATTTTTCATATATTTTGTATATATATTTTTTCTGAGTGTGTGTGAATCTATCTATTTAATCTTTCAATTTTATTATATTGTCAATGAAAACTTTGGAAAGTTCAGAGGATAAGGGTAACTTTTTCAAAGGAATGAAATGTGACATTTTTGTGAAACGGTCTACTACAACAAGGATGGTGGTGTATTTCTGAGAAGGTGGGAGTTCCACCATAAAGTCCATGGAAATAGACTGCCAAGGTCTCCCAGGTACCGGTAATCCTGTCAATAATCCATAAGGAAGGTGACGTTCCGCTTTGGACCTTTGACAAACTGGAAAAGACTTTACATAGGATTCAATTGCTTTGTCTTGACGAGGCCACCAATATTGTCTAGTAGAGAGTTCAAGTGTCTTTTTTTTTATTCCGGTACGTCCAGCAAGGGGAGAATCATGAATTAATTTTAAAAGGTTGTTTTGAAGTTTTGGAGGAATGTAAATTCTATTTTTGAAATAAAAAATTCCATCTTTTTTGAACAATTTAGGAGTAGAAGGTAGTTCAAGTTCCTTGTGAGATAATTGTTTCAGTTCATCCAATATAGTAGTTGTAATTCCAATTATTTTATTATTTGATAACATTGAGAAAGTTTTCTCTTTTGGAGAGGGATTAACAGAAATTATGAAAAGAGCATCAACTTTTTTGTTACCAAATACATCAGAAAAATCTGAATATGGTTCTGGTATTAGAGTTTTGTGACTTAATTGAAATATAGGAATTTGAGGGAGACAATTGTCCTTACAATATTCTGAGTCAAAGGTTAGAGAGAAGGGAGCCCAACGAATGCAGGGGTTATGAGTTTGTAACCAGTTAATTCCTAAGATGATTGGAAAAAGAGGAGATTTTATTATATCAAAAACAAGAAATTCTGAATGGTTATTATTGACAATTGTCCTGATAGGAATAGTTTCATTTTTTATAAGACCAGAGGGGATTAAAGATCCATCAATTACACTGATGGAGATAAAATATGCTTTTTTCACATAAGGAATTTTATTGGTTTCAACAAACGAAGAATCTATGAATATCCCTGTTGCTCCAGAATCAATAATAGCTTCAGTCTTCATTCTTTCTTTGTCCCACTGTAAAATTAAAGGTACTGCGAACTGATGAGAGCAGGAAGAGGGAAGTGTTTTCAGAATTGAGGTATTAATTTTAAGCTTTCCTTCCTTAGCGCGTTTTAGTAGAGGACATTCTTCTAAAAGATGTTCCTTAGAAGCACAGTACATACAGAGATTTACATTTCTTCTTCTTGTTTTTTCTTCTATAGACAAAGGTCCCCTAATAAACCCAACTTCCATAGGTTCACTTGGTTGCAAGGGTTTATTAGGCATGCGCAAAGGTGGATTGGGTTTTTTCCAAAATGAATTAGAGAGAGCCTTTTCAGCTTTTTGATCTCTGATTCTTCTAACTATACTGATAGAGAGTTGAATTAATGTATCAATCGTTGGGGGAATAGTGGTTCTAGATAATTCATCTTTAACTGTTTCAGATAATCCTAAACGGAACTGATTACGTAGAGCTATATCATTCCATTGGGTTTCTGAAGCCCATCTTTTAAATTCAGCTATATAATCCTCCACAGGACGATTTCTTTGTTGAAATAATCTAATAGTAAGATCAGCAGTAGCTTGTTTATTAGGGTCCTCATAAAGTAATGACATCGCTTCAATAAAATTATCTAAAGAATCCAAAATAGGATCTTCATGTTCCAGAAATGAATGTGCCCAGGACATGGGTTCATCCCTTAATTATGAAATCATTGAACAGACTTTAATCCTTTCTGTGGGGTAAGCCCTGGGTTTAAGAGTAAACAATAATTTGCATGAATTCAAAAATTCTCTATATTTAGAGCGATCTCCATAAAACTTTTCAGGGTTGCAGACAGCAGGGTCACTTGAAGAATGTATAACTTTATTTTGCATTTCTCTAATATAAGAAAGAAGTCTCATGTTAGCAATTTGCAAATCCTGTGAGTATTTCAACTCTGTGGTTTAAAGAGGTAATTTGGGAATTCACTTCTGCTGGTTCCATTTTTGAGGCTTGGTGATTCTGTTACGCTACTTGGGTGATTTGGATTGGAACTCAACTGCAGCTTGTAAAACTCCCTATTTACAATTGTGAAGAAACGGAGAATCTTTAAAGTATCAATACTGTAGCTTTAAGAAAAGAGAGAGAGAACTTGATTCAACCGAAGTTTTAATAAGTGTTAAACTTAAATGAATTGCATTTAGGCAATAATCCAATAAGAAGAAGTGCAAGTAATCAACAACACAAATTTCATTATTAAGTATTTCCTCAGAGATGCATTAAGAAACATTCTTTAAGTTCATGAGAATAATCTTCAATAGAAACAATAAGCAAGTAGCTAAGAATATTTGCAGAGCAAGAACAGTTCATAGGCTGAATAAGCATGATGGGAGTTGTCCTCCATATAATTAGTAGCTTCAATCACTAAGTGTATTTCCAAAGCAAGAAACAGTTCATAGTGAATAAACATGATGGGAGTTGTCCTCCATATAATTAGTAGCTTGAAGCAGTGAAGATTTAGTTCATTATTAAATGATATTGTAGACAAATAGCTAAAAGATATACTTAAGGTTAATGTGAGTAGTCCTCCAATAGTTCAGAGGTATGGTCCACTTGTAAAGTAAGTGAGTTTCCGTTCTCCAGTAATCCTCTATGACATGAAGCATACTTGTCTTAGTCCAGAAAACTAGGACGACTTCAGAGTTTGTAGAGCCGGCGTGTCCTAGTAGCTGGCGTGCATATTCGAAAGTAGGACCCACAGAGATAAGTCTGGCGGAAGTAGCTCCCAGTATCACCAAGCACCCTCTCTCTGGCACAGTCTCCCTAAATACCGTCAGAGCTGTGTCAGAGGGGGGAGGGAACCGGCTCAGCCCAGCGGAGTGCCGAACCCAGAAGTGTTACCGCATGACAGGACCCCTGAAGAAGCCAAACCACTCTAAAACAGTTTG